GCTTCTCTCTGTGTCCTGTAGAATGTCTGGCAGTCTCGTCTGCGAAGCAGGAACCTGAAGGACCATCTCAACCACCTCGCCTTGTTTTGGCAGAATTTAGTGGTCATTTTTTCATGGGTCCTGTATGTCCAGTCAATATAACATTTTGTCAAGCAGTCCAGGCAAGAACAGTTTCTTGCCCAAATGGCTAACTTTTATCATAAGGAAAGCAAACTCCACATGGAGTTTCTTCGATGCCCATCATCTTCTTTGAAGTAAATTGGTGCTGCTAGGAGCGGGAATGTCTTATTGTGACAGAGACAGCTGGCTGCCTGGACAGACAAGCTCTTGGTTTTTACTTTACGCTAATTTTCCTATTATAACACCCCATTCTCTTTCTAACACACTTCAGATTTCACACAGACACACACCCTACTCAACATCATTCTGTAGTGCTCTCAACATGGATTGCTGGGTTGCTTAGGGTCAGGTGTTAGAGTTCATGTTACTGAGCTATGTGCAGTATGCTAAAAAGTTGATCACATCTCCCTTTAAATATGGCAGGTCTTCCTTGTCACACAGCTGGTGTTCTGAGCCGACTGGTCACTCCCTTTCTCCTTTGTTAGCTTATTCTCTTTGGCTTCAGCATTTGGAGTATCCCAAGAGTCCACAGTAGGACTATTCTCAATATACAGAGCTACACAGTGAGACCCTATCTCAAAACAAAATACTCTCCACCAAAAAAGTACACCATAGTTTTCTTGCCACAGACTCTCATCATTCTGAGTTTAGACAACAGTATCAGTGGGTATCAATGTTTCTTCGTCCTACTTGGGAGCTTCATATATAACTTAATTGCTTATGCCAATGGCTGAAGCTAAGTAAGCCCGACTGTCAGGTGTGGCACTTTGCTACGTAGCAATTGTATAAGATACCAAGAAGGATCGAAGATATTTTTGAGTGCCCTTAAAAGTTTTTGGCAATGCTGCCATTTTTGTCTTGCTGTTATGTTGTATCTACCAAGGAAAATCAAAATCCTGGAAATTAAAACTGCTTTCACCACAAAATGCCACTCCTGGACTGACCAGTTAACTGTTTTTGTTGTTATCTATTTCTTGAGTCAGTCTTGCTATGCCACCCAGACTGAACTAACTACTCAAGCCATCCTGAATAGCTGTTGGCTCAGCTCACCCAGGGGTGATCAGGGCCAGCATCTCTATTGTAAGGACAGTAGCTGCTGCCACCTGCTGGCTGTGCTCCTGACAGCACTGGGGAGCTTCAACTTCTCATTTTTGACATTCATTTTAAAGCAAGCAGCATTTGAACAGCATTAAGGTCCTAACCTACTCTTGGCAGAAACGTACATCTATTAAGAGATTTATAATGTTAACTAGAACCTTCTACTACTAAAAATGACCCTACTTAAGCTGGGTGTGGTGATCCCAGCACTTGGGAGGCAGAGGCAGTCAGATCTCTAAGTTTGAGGCCAGCCTGGTCTACAGAGTAAGTTCCAGTCCCGCCAGGGCTATGTAGAGAGACTCTGTCTCAAAAAATAAAATAATAAAATAAAAAGGAAGAAGGAAAGAGAAGGAGGAGGAACAGGAGGAAGAGGAGGAGGAAGAGGAAGAGGAGAAAAACAACCCTACTGACCATGATCTATAGATCTAGTTAGGTTGAAGCTTTTTTGCTTGTAGTATCTCAAGACAGGAAAAGATGCACTGTGCACATCCTGGTCCAGCCGAGATGCTGGGCTTGCCCTTTCACACCAATTCGGGATCCAGGGGTTGACACTCCCTGCTCCCCACCCACCCAGGTACTCTGTATTCTGTGTCTTCACATAACTGAGCAGGGAAATGACCATAACAGGTAAACAACCTAAGACTGCATTCAAAAACCAGTGAAATGTCCTGAGTGGTAACTAGTTTATTAAAGCTACAAATAAAAAAAAATTCATTGACTTGCTGAGCTTGTAAGTAGCTTTTAGCTTCTGATCAATCCAAATGCATCGAGATATAATGGATATTTATACAACTAATAAAAATGGATGGGACAACTATGACAGCCAAGAGATATGAGTTCCTGGAACAGAAAATATACACAAGGAAAAAAACAAAGAAAACTAAGGCATGGCCACTAACAGTGTTGGCCACTGATGGTGACACATTACTAACACATGGCATTAACATTGGGGAAACACTGCCGGGCAGTGGTGGTGCACGCCTTTAATCCCAGCACTCCGGAGGCAGAGGCAGGAGGATCTCTGTGAGTTCGAGGCCAGCCTGGTCTACAGAGCGAGATCCAGGAAAGGCGCAAAAGCTACACAGAGAAACCCTGTCTCGGAAAAACAAAAAACAAAAACAATGGGGAAACAACAGAGTATAAAGGGACTTGAATACCACCTTTGCAGTTTGGGTGAACTCCCACCCTGTTTTTAAGACAGGGTCTCAAGTTGCCCAGACTGGACTGGAACTTGTTATGTAGCCTGGATGTCCCAGTCTTGCTTCCCCAGTGCTGAGGTTATAAGCATGCACATCATGCTTTGCTTTTGTGGCTTATCTAGGAATCTAAAATTAAGAAATAGATTAAACAAGACCCTCACACTGACTGGGCCCCTGAGGCCCGGGGTGGCCAGAAGCCACCCCAGTGATGCCTGGGCCCCTGCAGCCCAGGGCAGCAGTCACCACTACAATGAACAAATAAATATATGATGGAGAGGTGGGAAATACCGAAAAACAGAGCGGTGGGTATGCAGAGAGGCACAACTGGAGGCGTGATGGCGGTGACAGGTGAGACAGAGGACTGAGGTCTACATGTTGTCATTGCCTGGTAGGGTCAGCTAGATGGTGTCCAACAGCCTGGAGCTTGTGCAGATGCAGACTTGCCCCTCCCCCAAAACCTGCCATCCAGCTGTGGGACCCCCCTGGTTCTGGGCAATGATGGAGGCCTGAGATGAAGAAAGGTTTACTTTTGGATTGGCCCTTTGAAGGACCACTGTTGGAGGCCATGTTGGTGTTGGTGGTCTAGGCTGCTGCCCCAGATGGCGAGGAAACCTGAGATCCATGAGGACATATGCAGTCAATGACGCTGCCTGATGCCTTGGTGATGTCATTGGGCATTGCTGCCTCAGGGCACCATGCTGATTTGAGTGGCATGCAATAAAACCCAGAAATAGGAATCCAGCTATCAAGCTGTAATTATCGCCCCAAACTCGGCTGTCTAAGCCGGGAGTGTAGGAAGCCCGATTCCTATAGGTTGTTAGAGAAGACCTGAATGTTCAGAAGGTCGGGGCCAGTTGTAACCACCTGAGGCCACGTGGAGGCTCATGGTCTGTGCAGCCACTGAGGGCCTTGAGTGGGTCAGTGGTCCTGATATGGCCAAGGGCCGTGTTTATGTCTCCAGCCTGTATTACCATTGAGACCCATGCAAATGCCCCTGGTCAGGGCTGCCACCTGAAGCCATGTTAATGCCCATGGGCGCTGGAAAGCTGGCCCCAACCCTCACCAGCCTACGGCACTGTGGTGCAGGCTGCAGAGGGGACCTGGGAGAGCTAGCCTCACCCTGCTCCGGCCTCAGCTGATGGTTCCTGAAATGGATGCAGGTGGGGAAAACCTCATCCTCCCTTTGGGGGCTGGCCACTAAGAATCTGACCATGCTCTAGTAAACAGATGGACAACACAAAATGGACTTGCTTTGGGGTTTTTTTAGGGGGCAGGAGAGATTACATGGGAGGGGGCCAGACAGGAGAAGACTGGGAGGTGAGAACAACAGGGACACATGATGTGAGATTCCCAAATAATCAATAAACAGTATTTATTTTATTTTTTTTTTTTTGGTTTTTCGAGACAGGGTTTCTCTGTGTAGCTTTGCGCCTTTCCTGGAGCTCACTTGGTAGCCCAGGCTGGCCTCGAACTCACAGAGATCCGCCTGCCTCCGCCTCCCGAGTGCTGGGATTAAAGGCGTGCGCCACCAACGCCCGGCTAATAAACAGTATTTAAAAAGAAAAAGGAAAGCATAAAAAAATAGATCAAACAAGATGCATCTCAGTGGACAAAGGCAGCCCCAAACCACAAAGGCTTGCAACAATCTGTAACTACAGTTCCAGGGGTCTGAAACTCTCTTCTGCCCTCCTCTGGCACCAGGCGTACATATGGTCTACAGAGACAGACATGCAGGCAAAACACCCATCCACATACAAATAAAAAATAAAAAAAAAAAAAATAGAATTCTACTTAAACTCAAAAATAAATGCCTCAAAAATAACATTTAAAAGCTCAATTGTGTGTTAAACTCGAGGGTGAGGATTTTGTAGCTAAGGAAAAACCAAAGCCCTCGTCGGGTGAGTACACAAGCCTCCTCCAGCACTGCTGACTCTGTGGTCGGCCCACCGAGGGCGGCTCTCCTGTTCCTCTCAGCACAGCCCTGCAAAGGCTTCCCTCTCCCCTCCAAGACGTCTCCATCAGAACGCACAACAGCTAAAGTGAAATGAACAAAGACCGCTGTCCTTTACCACACAGCTCGTGAACCAGGGCACGTCAGCAGCTATACTGACCCGTGCCACCCTGAATTCCTACCAACAGTTCTCTCGGGGATTTACTCAGCAGTCATTTGATCTTCATTTCTTACTTCAACTTATCTTTTAATTCCAGTGATTATATAAAGTGTGCTGGGTGGAAGCCCATGGAAAGAGCATGTTCAAACAAAATATGAGTAAAAAAGGCACAGGCCCAAGAAAAAGGAGGTGCTATTCTGTGACTCTTCTCCATTTAAGATGGTGTGTGTGTGTGTGTGTGTGTGTGTGTGTGTGTGTGTGTGTGTGTGTGTTGGGGGGTGGGGGTGTCACTCAGTGGCAGGGCTCAGGCTCAGCATGCTTGAGGTCTTGGTCAATCTCCAGAACAAAATCAAACAACCACCAAACACATCCCAAACACACACACACACACACACACACAGAACAAACAAAACGTGAGCTAATTTTGAGTCCAACCAGTGCTTTAGTGACAGAGCAACAGGACATCTCTATCTCAACTGTAAGATGAATTTTAAATTATTTTTATTTTTATTTTTAAGATTAAGCATCCTCACTGACAATCCAGAAGCAGTCTGTGCTGACAGTTAAGCAATTCCTTAATTTTCAGTGTCAAAGTAGAAAACACATGTTCACAAGATGCAAGTCAATTACTGTCCTTTTCAAAACATCCACCCAGTGGCTGCTAAGCCACTTACAGAATCATGAGGAAGACAGTTTTCCAAAAAGCCAATAAAACCCAAAAATAGGAATCCAGCTATCAAGCTACAATTATCATCCCAAACTCGGCTGTCTAAGCCGGGAGTGTAGGAAGCCCGATTCCTATAGGTGGTTAGAGAAGACCTGAATGTTCAGAAGGTTGGGGCCAGAACCATGGTGCTGTCTGTCCACAGGTCCAGAGAACATTCATCTGAGGAATAAGCTGGGCTCTTTCCTATTCCAGCAGAGGAGATGAAAACACACACTGTTGCAATTGACACCAGCGGCCCTTGCCCACAGAAGGCAGGAGAGCAGAGGGAGGAAGTGGAGAACAAAATGACAGACAGCTCTGACTCTGAATTTCCTCCCCAGGTGAGCAGGAGGGGGCCCCAAGCCAGATGCACTCATTCTGCATTTGGTTCTACACCGGTGGATTCAACACGCCATTCATAAACATCAAGTGACCCACGGGGCTTGTGGGACTAAAGTCTTTTAAAATTTATTGTCAATTTCTATTTGGAAAGTGGAGCGTCAGAAGGACACTGGGACATCTGGTCGGTCACAGAGTGGAAGGCCCTCCACAGAGAACTCAGGGAAGAGCAAGCAGTGTGTAGCCAGATCAGGCTCTCAATGTCAGCCTTCCTGGACACAGTCTCAAAGTTTAACTCTTGACCCTCTCCCTAACCTAAAGCTTGGGGAAGAAAATAAATATTCACTTTATAACTATCCACAGTTTGGGCATATTATAATATTTAATCTACTATAGTTTGCATTTCTGAACCTTTGGCATATAATTTTATCAGAATTATGTTACATGGAAAAAAAATGTGTGTGCCTTAATCAGTAGTACCAAAGAAAAATATCAACCCTGTCCTTCCTTCTCCACAGGAAGAGTGAATATATGGCACCCTAAATATCTCGCAAGGTTTCTTTGTGTACTTGACAGAAGATTGGGGCAAACATTCCATTTCTGTATGTTGAGCAGAGGAATGAACTAGTCTTCAATTTCATCTTCCCAAACGTCCCCGTTAACATCCACGTCGTGGAACAGTCTGAAAGCATAAAACAGGTACATGCTTATGCAGCTGCACAAAACTGAGCATAATCTCTTTCTTTCTGTCAAAACACTCTACTCTTCTGACAACATCTCTGCATAAGTTTTCCTCTTTAATCATTTCTTTAAGGAGGGCTGAAATCTAGGTCTTTCTAAACAAGCTGCAATATGTTTGTAAGAACAGTGCTGGCCAGCTGGGCATGGTGGTGCTTGTCGTTAATCCCAGTACTTGGAAGGCAGAGGCAGGAGGATCTCTATGAGTTCAAGGCCAGCCTGATCTACTTAGGGAGTTCCAGGACAGCCAGGGATATATATAAAGTTCCCCATTTGAAAACAAAACAAAAAACAGGAACAAAAAGTCAAAAAAAAAAGAAGAAAAAAGAAAAAACAAACCAAAACAGTACTGGTCACTGAATCTACAGCCTCTTGCATGCCAGGAAGCTGCCACTAAGCTGTTCCTGATCCCTCTTTTCACTCTATGTGTAAACTATGGGGAATAGGCATCACCAAAAACTGGTGATGTATACGGTATGCGAAATAAGTCGAGAGTGGGGAGTCATGCAGTCTGGAAGAAACTGAACTCTTCCAGTAAACAAGCAGGCAGGTGCTATCTTCCCATGCTCTGGCGTCCTCCTTGGTGGCATGCTGTGTAGGGGCTTTGGCTTCTTTCCCTTATAGTCTCTAAAGCCGGTGCCATTTCCAGCACTAGCTTGAAACAGTTCACAGCAGGACTAAGTCCTTCAGTTTCTCTTAGACTTTTCTAACACTGATGAGTGTAGGTTCTCTACAGAAACCAATGGAGAAGAACACTGATAACCTCAGAGAACTGTTGAACAATAATCCACACTGTGTCAAGAATCTCCTTATCTAATAACAAAAGGGAAAACACAGCTTTGCACGCATTAAATGATAGCACACTAACAGGGGAACAGCCTGACCATGGTCCTCCCACTGGGGTACCACATGCAGCACATCACATGAAATATCCTTGTCAAAACCGTTACTATTGCCAGGTGGTGGCGGTGCACGCCTTTAATCCCAGGGCTTGGGAGGCAGAGGCAGGCGGATCTCTGTGAGTTCGAGGCCAGCCTGGTCTACAAAGTGAGTTCCAGGACAGCCAGGTCTACACAGAGAAACCCTGTCTTGAAAAACAAACAAAAAAATGTGAAAAATAATTTTTTTTCAAGAGGCGTATAATCTGATCATAAACCCATTTTCAAGAAGATTTAAAAATCACGTGTAGGAAAAGAGTTTCCAAGTCTAGCTACTTCAGGGGAAAAAAAGCTGGTATTTAGAAAATAAACTAGCCTGCATAATGGTATTAAAACATGTTGCAGATGGACTAACTAGAAAGATGGTTCAGAACACCTGCTGTATAACCATGAGGACCAGAGTTTGGATCCCAGCACTCACGTAACAAACCAGACACACTGCAAGTATCTGTACTTTCAGCTCCAACTCTGAAAGCCGTGACACCCTCCCAGGCCTACCATGCATGCACCGCTAATCCAGGGACCCCGGCGTGCACACACCTGTTAAAGCATGGGGACTCGGGATCAGTGAAGTGTTTGTAAGGGTTGGCTCTGGAGAGAGAACCCATGCAGATCCAGCAGAAGTACTGCATACAGCCCGTACAGGTCATCTTGTTACAGCCGTCCAGCTTCTGGTGGGAGGAAACAGGAAGCAAGGTGGTGAGGCCGAAGAGGATTCACGAGCTACACAACACACAACACTCCTAGTCTTTTGTCCTTTCCCAGGCACCACACACAGCGACAGCCATCTACACAAGCCTGCGCTGAAAGTGAATATGAAGCACTGAGCAGGTACGCCTACTAGATACTTAGCACAATCTCCTCTCATAAATACAAACACGAATGAGAGAACACGTAACTAGATAGAGATTAAAATGTTACTTTAGTCTCAGTACTAGACACAGAATCTAGGTTCTTTTACATGCTAGGCATCCACTCTACCATTAAGTGATATCCCTATCCCTTTTTACTTTTTATTTTCAGACAGGGTTTAAGTTGTTCACCCTGGCCCTGGCAATCCTCCTGCTTCAGTTTCCCAAATGGCTGGGATTACAGACTGAGCAACCAGACTGGATTAAATTTTACCTTCTATACAAATCACAATTAATAAGTGGAATCATATCTTATTTCTATCATAGGGCTCAGGCATGGCAGAAGTGGTCAACTATGATACCACTTTCCTTAATGATGTAACTAGGGAATTATCAGTTTCAGTCACTATGTAGAGGACTGGAAAAAACAAAATCAAATGGAAGACTACATTTTCATTTTAAAATCCACTAAGATTTTGGGGAGAAGAAACAGATTTGTCTATTTGGCTCAGATTAATGGGGAAAATGTCTCCATTTCTTCAGCACATATTTGTTAAATACATTTGCTATTTTGAAGGATAAATAGTTCTGAAAAGTCAGTTATGATTTTTTTTTTTTCTGAGACTGAGTCTCATGTATCTATGTTGGCCTTGAACTTGCTTTGTAGCTCTGGGTGACCTTGAACTTCTGATTTTCCTGCCCCCACCTCCTAAATTCAAGGACTGCTGGTATGCACTTCCACGTCCAGTTTGTTGTACTGGGGACTGAACCCAGGACTTCATGCATTCTAGACCAGTCCTCTACCAACTGAGGTATATCCTCAGCCCCAGATAAGGCTCTTTAAAAACAGAGCTAAGACTGGGGCTGGAGAGATGGCTCCTTTGTTAAGAGCACAGGCTACTATTCTAGGGGATCCAGGTTTAATTCTCATCACCCACATGGTGGCTCACAACCACCTGTAACTCCAGTTCTGGGGATCCAAAGCCACCTTCTGGCCTCCGCAGGCACCAGGCATGCACATGGTGCACAGACAGACAGACATGCAGGCAAACAGCCATACACACAGAATAAAAACAACCTTAAAAACTACACGGATTAAGAGTTGACTGGAGCTCTAGTGCGGTCTTGTTCTAACCTGCTACTGTCCCTTTCGAAACCCGTGTTGGGAATTTAATCCCCACTGTGGGATATTAAAAAGATGGGATCTAGCCAAGTGGTGGTGGCTCACACCTTTAATCCCAGAGACAGAGGCAGGCAGATCTGTGAGTTCGAGGGCAGCCTGATCTACAGCAAGTTCTAGGACAGTCAAGGCTACACAAAGAAACCTTGTCTTGAAAAACCAAAAGAAGGAAAAAAAAAGTGGGAACTTAACCTGAATGTTGTATTTATTGTATTTAGAAGTAGGGCCCTTGGGAGAAGATGAGGGGGAGCGAAGGTCATCGGGCTGGAGCCCCATCACTGGACATTGGTGGCTTTCTATGGGATAGCACTACCAATGGAGACACTACACACTATGAGATGCTCTGCACTGTCTCAGGACAGAACCAGAACATAATCCAATGAGCTCTATAACCTACCTAGCCTTGGTATTGTTATTAGCAAAAGAAAGTAGAATGGAGCAACATCTATTCAATTTTGAGGTGGACACAATTTATGTGAGATAAATTGTCTTTCTATAAAAACACTGAATAGAGAAGCCTATGTGTACTTAAAGTCAGTAACAATATTTACTAGTGAGATTTGACTTTCCAAGTAAGAAGGCTGGGTAGGTACCCCAATGTGTTTTCTCCATAACCTAACTGTTAGGATTCTGCCACTCCAGCTGTATGACTGCGCATGCACAGTTCAGTAGCTAAGCAAGGGGTCTTATATCATACGTCATCAATGTGCTGCATGTCTATGTAATGCATGCAGCGTGGTCACGCAATCAGCGCATGCGTGGCATAGCTCTGTAAGCCCACTTGCGCATATGCAGGGGAATCCTTAAAAAGCTGGACACAGAATCCTCCCCTCTCTTTCTGCTCTTCCCTCCCCACCACTCTCTCTCCCTGCATGTGTCTCTTCCTGGCCCGGCCACGCTCTCTTCTGTCCCCTCCCCTCCTCCTAATAAAGCGATGATACTGGGTTTTGTCGTGGCTTGTGACCTTTCTTGCACGGTAACAGTGCTTCTTATTATTTATTTAAAACCAAGAATAACTATTATAATTGACCAGTGGGCTTCTGAGGGTAACTGTGCTCTAAGTCCGTCCTACGGCAGTCACCTGTATGGGCGTCCCACAGCAGGGGCAGCTCTTGGAGTTCTTTTCCAGCCAGTCTTTACTTTCCATCTCTTCCAGGGCCTTCTGAATCACCCTCTTGCCATACCTCTGTTCCAAGAACCTTTTAGTAGTTTCATCTGCTTGTAGGTATTCATTTCGTAAGTCTATTAATTTCTCTAGAAATTACAATAGAAAATTAACTTTGTTACTTTGCAATGTTAACTAAAAACACTAAAAATGGCCATAATGGACATAGCGTTACACAGTTTTAGCTCCAGCACTTAGGAGGCAGAGGCAGGCAGATCTCATTGTGTGAACTTGGAAGGCCAGCCTGGTCTACATAGAGAGTTTCAGGTCAGCCAGCACTACATAATGACCCTGTCTTGAAACAACAACAACAAAAAACATAAAAAAAAAAAAAACCCATCCAAAATATTTAAATATCCAGAAAGACAGTCATGGTATGTACTCACTCATAAGTGGATTCTAGATATAAAATAAAGAACAATCAGACTACAAAAAAATATTCATTGCATTGATTTATTCAATGTTTTATATAATCTCATGCTTATAGATAAGATTTATTAAGAACATACAGTTTTTAAATATTTTGTGCATGTATCTGTAAGCCTTATTTTTAATTCATTGTTTCTTAATTTTGCTTTCCTCATCTATTAAGTAGTCTGACATAAATCTATTGCTGATAGTTCAAAATGAGCTTATTTTTTATTAACTTTTGTTACAACACAAATTATAAATAAAATATAAAATAAAAAAATTAGAAAAAAAATTTAAATATAAAAAACTTAGGGGGGCACAAAAAGGGACAATGGAGTAACTATGACCAAAACATATACATGCATAAAAATTTGAAAATGAAATCCATATTGTGTATGACATGTCAATTAAAACTGTAAATGTATTGTGAGTGAAAATGTGAATAATCTTCTGTAGTTTAGATCTGTATATCAGATAAAGCTTTCAACGTGCTGAAAAAACAACACACACAAACCGACTTTTAACTGGCATGGCTACTATTCAATCCAAATATTCACAGTATACTTACAGACAAGCAGGTAAAGGTTATGCATGCAAACGCTAGGCTCCGCCCACGGAGAGTCGGACTGGCTGAGGGGCAGGTGGGCTCCGCCCACGGAGAGTCAGACTGGCTGAGGGGCAGGCGGGCTCCGCCCACGGAGAGTCAGACTGGCTGAGGGGCAGGCGGGCTCCGCCCACGGAGAGTCAGACTGGCTGAGGGGCAGGTGGGCTCCGCCCACGGAGAGTCAGACTGGCTGAGGGGCAGGCCGGCTCCGCCCACGGAGAGTCGGACTCGCTAAGGGGGCAGGGTTTCCTTTGACTTGCATTTCTCAATACTGGCTTGTTTATGTAGCTGGCAACATTCAATGAAACTGTCTTGTCGAAAAGAACAACGAGCTCATGGAGTTCAGGGGCAGTGTTTGCCAAGGCCCTGAGGTTAGTCTGCCCAATACCATGCCATACCCAAATCTGTAAGTAGTAGACACTGATTCTACACTATGTAAACATAAAGCATCATAAAACTACAAGTTGATAATTTGACAAACAAAAATGGTGACTAAAATTCACTTTGTTGCACGTGCTAAAAGCTCTTCCTGGGGTGGCTGAGATGACTCAATGGGTAAAGAAGCTGGCCGCCAAGCCTGATGACCAGAGCTCGATACCCAGGTCCACACGGTGGAAGAACCAACTTCCACAAGTTGTCTTCTCACCAAGGTATGAGTGTGCTTGCCACCGCCAAAAATAATTACTGTGATTTTTAAAGCAGTTCTTCCTTGAGGCTGGAGAGAAGGCTCAGCAGTTAATATTTGCTGCTCTTCCAGAGGACCTGGGTTTTGTTTCTAGCACCAACATCATCGTGAGGCTCAAACAACCTGTAATGCCAGCTCCGGGGGAATCTAATGCCCTCTTCTGGCCTCCATAGGCACTGCACTTACATGTACGTAACCACACATACAAATAAAAATAAATTTTAAAAAAGTTCTTTCCCCATTTTCCTCCAATATTCTTTGAGAGCCAGATCTCAGCAGAATTGTAGGCACAGCAAAAAGGCCTGAGCAGGAAGCTCCCCCACTCCTGACCTCTGACCTTTTGTCCTAGCTACAGAGAGCGAGCCATGAACTCTTCACCCTAGAGGGAAGGCCCAATCAAAGGCAGCGACTGCCTCTGACCTTTTGCCCTAGCTAACACCCCAGGGAAGGGCCAATCAGAAGCCATGAACACCTCGCCCCATAGGAAAGGGCCTATCAGGAGCCATGAACACCTCCAATCAGAGGTGGACAGACAACTCCAGGTGCTGAAGCTACAATGTTGCAGTACCCTAGACCCAAAAGAGCCAATCAGCTCAGTCCAGGTATTCCTAACCAGGGCTTGAGCCAATCCCAGGTCTGTACTGAGCGGTCTTGGAATTCCCGCAGCCCGCCCCTTTGTCTGCAGAGCCACTATAAAAACCCTCGTCCTGTGCTGCTCCGGGTCTCTCTCCTGCTCTGCTGCTGGGTCAGTTGGACTAAGAGACCCAAGTTAACTGCATTAAAGACTTTGTTTTGCATCAGATTTCATCTCTTGGAGGTCCTCTGGGGATCTGAACTTTGGGCACAACATTCTTCAGCTGGCTTATACTACTGCTTTACCACTTAAATGGATTGGGCATCCATTTCCAAAGGTTCCAGCGACAGACAAAAGCTTCTGTTCACAATTGTATTCCCTTAATTTTTCAATACAACTGAAGACCTCTCATAAAAGTTCTAGTTATTTCATTTATTTTTATTTGGGGGATATGTGTGTTGCGTGTGCACGGAGAGTGCAGATGTGTGTACCTGTGCACATGAATGTGAAGGCCAAAAGAAGACATCCGGCATCTTCCCATATTACTCTCTGCCTCACTCTTTTAAGACACTCTTTTAAGGAGCCTGCCACTTAGGCAAAGATGGGGTTTCAGACATGTGTGGCCATGCCAGAGTGCTACATGGGTGCTGGACTCCGTCTCAGGTTCTGTGTTGGCAAAGCAAGAACTCTCACCACTGAGCTGCCTCCCCAGCCCCGCTCTTGTGACTGTATTCGCCTGCTTCCCTCTTATTACCTAGAGGGCTGCTCCTTTTAAGCAACAGACACCTTCTGAGGTAGACTATATATTGTGGTAATATTGTGTTCCCCAAAATATCGTGTACCTTAATAAACTTATCTGGGGTCAGAGAACAGAAAAGCCACTAGTTAGGCAGTGATAGCCTTTAATCCTAGCATTCCAGAGATAGAAATCCCTCTGGATCTCTGTGAGTTCAAGGCCACATTGGAAAAAGCCAAGCATGGTGACACGCCTTTAATCCCAGAAAGCCAGCCTTTAATCCCAGAGAGTGGTGGTAGAAAGCAGAAAGATATATAAGACGTGAGGACCAGGAACTAGCAGCATTTGGCTGGTTAAGCATTTGGCTGGTTAAGCTTCAGGCTTTTAAGCAGCAGTTCAGCTGAGAGCCATTAGGATGAGGACACAGAAGCTTCCAGTCTGAGGAAACAACCAGCTGAGGAATTGGCAAGGTGAGATAGCTGTGGCTTGTTCTATCTCTCTGATCTTCCAGCATTGACCCCAATAACTGGCCTCGGGTTTGATTTTATTAATAAGAAATGTTAAGATTCATGCTACATCATATACTCTTTCTCTTTTCAACCTGTAAATTCTTAAGTTATTGTGCACCACCACTGTATTTTGATATAAGACATCTTTCTCATCTCTCTAATAAGTCAAAGCATTTTTTGTGTTTTTAAACATCTCGAAGACAGAAATTTATTGCTCAATATTCTCTAACTCCTATTTCATGGATGTGTGTGTGCGCGCGCGCGCGCGCGCGCGCGCACACACACACACACACACACACACACACACTCCCAATTCTGCTGAACCCCCAAGCCTACCTGAATCTCTCCAAATTTGTGAACCATTGCCCTTCCTCACCACCAGGATTAGAGAAGTAAAGACCAACACTGTACTTCAGCAGAACCTGAGGTATAAATCACCGTAACACTACCAGACTCTGCCCTGCATCAGCTGGAACCGCTGGCTCTCTCCCCGAAGACATTTTCTTGTCCATACAGGCAGCCTGCTGGCATTACCACTCAGTGACTCTAACAGCATCAGCAGCTACCACTCTGCATTTCCTGCACATTAGCCCACTGTTTCTCACATTACCCAGGATGAAAGATCAGTCCTCCTGTTGGGAAACAATACTTTTGCAAAATACAACAGAAGGACTTTCTAGAAAAATTAACAACAACTAAAGACTTAAAACTTGTTATTAGATTTGAGTCACTCTGAAACTGCTGTAAGTTTGTAACTCTTTGAGTATCTGTATCTACCTTATCACAGACTCAAACTACAACCTAACAGCAACTCTGCATGGTGCTTTCATTGGTTCTCGCCATTTTCACCTTCATTAATCTGAGAAGACCCAGGACACCAACGACCAGTCCACTTGACAAAAAGGGCCGATTCCCCAGACCCTACCCACATGACAACGGGCAAGCATGTTTCACCTCCTACATTCACTCCAACCCAGGTGGCTTGGGGGGGGGGGCATCTGAGGACCGAGCAGACACAGGTGCCCAAGAGCAAGGGCGGCAGTCTGGATGCCTGCAGCTGCCATCCAGGACCTGTGTTACTCCACACGCACTGGCAGATTCCATATGCTGGTCCTTTTCCCAGAAAGCCTTCCCCGTCTGCATGGTTCTGCTGGCTCCCAGTGAAGCCGCCCGGGTTTCCTAATACAAGCCTAACTCCTCTTCCCTCAGAACACTTCCTAACCTGCCCTCACTTTCTTTTTCCTCCTCAGCACTTACCACTCCTTACTCTCTGTGCTTTGTTGTCCCCACTAGATAAAGTAAGCGCTAAATGAGTATTTCATCCAGCACTCGGCAAGATGTATCAGCACGCCACATCTGCCTGCCATCGGGCTCGGGGGACGCTGGAGCAAAACTTGGTCATAACTGGCGTGCAGCTCTACTCCAGGTAGCTCTGTGACTTGGAGACAAACACAAACCCGACAGGAGTGAGGACTCAACGTGTGAAGGGAAGCCACAGGCCTTGGTGAAGAAGGTCTACTGGTGGGGGTTGGGCGCACCGTCACAACATACCTGCAGTTACCTTACATGGAGAGACCCCGTGATAGGTCAGTCTGCACAAGGTACAGAAGGCGAAATTGCAGCTGGAGCAGATAGCCATGGTGCCGCCAGGCTCCTGCATCACAGGCAGCTGGCAGCATGGACGGGGGCAGTAGACCACATCTGCCATTAGATCCAAGGTAGACTGGAGAAGGAGGCGGTCGTAACGGGCAAATAAGTCAGCTTCCACCAGCTCTTTGACCTGAGAGGAAACACAGAGCATCTTAGGTTTGACCATTTCCTAATTAATTCTGATTCTGAGAAGGACCTAGGCTGCTGATATAAAATGGATAGGTGTAAAAATCAAACCCCTATTCCCAGTGCAGAATCAAAGCAGGTTTGGCAAGAGTTTATACCCTTTTCATTTTTTGAGCAAGGGGTGGGGCATGGTTGAGACAGGCTTTCCTATATAGTCTACTGGCTTTGAATTTTCAGTAATCCACCTGCCTCAGCCTCCCATGTCCTGCTCTAACAGTCTATATCCTGACTGAGGCTGTGGTTGCATGGGTCCACACACTGGTCAAAACTAAGGCTGGCATGGTGGTACAGGCTTTCAGTCCTAGCACCTGGGAGTCAGAGGCAGGCAGATCTGAGTTCAAGGCCAATCTGATCTAGAGAAAGAGTTCCAGGACAGCCAAGACTACAGAGAGAAACCTTGTTTTGAAAAACAAAACAGGGGCTGGAGAGATGGCTCAGCGATTAAGAGCAATGGCTGGTCTTCCAGAGGTTCAAATCTCAGCACCCACATGGCAGATCACAGCTGTTTGTAACTCCAATTCTAGGGGATCTGACACCCTTATATAGACATACGCGCAAGCAAAATACCAATGCATGTGAAATAAAATTTAAAAATTAAGAGATAGAACAGAAATCTGCTTGTACATGTGTATATGTGTGTGCATGTGCCCACATATGTCTGTGCATGTTAAAAGACAACCTGAGGAAGTTGGTTCTCTCCTCCTACCATGTGATGTCCTAGAGGTCAAACTCAGGTCATCAGGTTTTGTGGCAGGTTCTTTTACCTAATGAGCCATCTAACTGGCCCTGGTTTTGATTTTTGAGATAGATCTCATGCATCCCAAATAAGCCTTGAACTTGCTACACAGTTAAGGATGACATTGAATACCTGATCCTCCTGCCTCTACCTCTAGAGTACGGGATTATACCCAGCACTGGGCACTATACCCATTTTATAGCATTCTTAATGGATACAAGGAAGCGTCTTATGGACTGCACCCAAGGACTTAGCCTATACCTTGAGTACTATCAAGAAAGTTTGTGAGTATGGGGGTGTGGCTTATTGGGAGAGGGCTTGCCTAGCATGTGTTAGGGCTGGGATTGATCCTCAACACTGCAAAATAAATACATTAATTAGCATTTCTGTGGCAAGTGTGGTAGATACACCTACAATCCCAGCATATGGGAAGTCAAGGCAGGAGGATCATGAGTTTGAGTCCAGTCTGGGCTATACAGGAAGATCCTGTCTCAAAAGGAAACAAAAGAAAAGTCCCCGAGAGGTTTCCCTTTGTAGAGAGGACTAGGAGGCCATGTGGCACGGATGGGGTGACGTTACCTGACCAGGAGTAGCCACCGAAGAGCACTTTGGTTCTGGACAATTGAGGCATTTAACTTGGCCATCTTTGATCTGGATTTCAAAGTAGTCCTTCAGACAGGCTTTGCAATACACATGTCTACACTCCAAGAAGTGCATGCACTCACTACCCAGCTTCTCGCAGAAACAGATACTGCACAGGAACAATTTGCTATTGAAGCTCTTCATCTGCTGAGCTTGATTGAAGTCCAAGATTTCCTGGATCAGACTTGACAATGATTCTACATCCTGCACAGCTCTCTCATCCACAACTTCTTCTTGGTCTACATCGGCTCCAGCAGCTCCTCCAAAACCTAGCTCTGTGCTGGAAGAGGCCTGAGCCGTCGTCCTTTTCTGGGCTTTTTTCTGAGGCCCCATCTTGAGCTCAAAAGGAGAGACAATATTCAGGTAGGTGAGGGTCTCCTCCTTAAGAAACTGCATCCAGGCGAACAGCACCACACTGCCTCGGTGTTCTTCCCACAGGTTGTCTAGGTGCTTGCAGAGAGCAGAAAGCTGGGAGGAAGAACATGAGGATGCTGAGTTTGGAAAGATGATGATGATGTACCAACTTCCGATCTTCCTAAGGCTCTCTGAGGCATGTTAGTATAACTTCCTGACACTACTTTTTCTTACTACCACAACAGTACCAACATTCTCACCGCATCGTTTCTTAAACTATTCATCGACGGTGGCGAGTAAGACATAAGGTCGGAATCTAGAGGAAGTAGCACAAAGACAACAGAAATGCAAAATGCTGCAGGGTACAGAACCAGATTGCTACCCAGCTCAGGAAACAGACTTTTAGCATCACTCTGTGTCACACGTGTTAGAAAGGAATGTCATTCTAACAGGAACTGTTTCTCTTGGGTGGTGCTGGCACACATCTTTAACCCCAGCACTGGGGATCCTAGCACACCACCACTGAGTACCTCTATCTCCCTCCTTGTAGAGCGTGATAGGCTGCCTCAGTGCATTGTCCACCCAGGATATCCCACAGTGCAACTCTCCAAACTGTGCAGCATGCCCCAAAAGACCTGGAGATGTGCTATCCGTCTAGACACCAGAACTTAACGTCCACTTCAAGAAGGAAAGATACTGCCGGGCCGTGGTAGTGCACGCCTTTAATTCCAGCACTCAGAAGGCAGAGGTAGGCAGATCTCTGTGAGTTCAAGGCCAGTCTGGTCTACAGAATGAGTTCCAGGACATTCAGGGCTACAAAGAGAAACCCTGTTTCGAAAAGCCAAAAAAAAACAAAAAAAGAAGGAACTATTTCCCTTTGGGAGCCCTACCCTTCCTTGTAGGTGATTTAGAATTGTAATTTTAAAAAAA